GTATCATAATTGTGTGTGTGTGTGTGTGTGTGTGTGTGTGTTGGTGTTTGTGCTGATGTTGTGTGTTTACACTGCTCTTCTGTCTTTCAGCATCGAGGATAATTAACTCACTAGGACTGGCATATGATAGTTGTCTCACCTCAAAACCTCTTCTCCGGCATGAAGCTGTTTGGTGAGGAGTTAGAACCCGTCCCACATTTCCAGCAGTTTGGGAGCTGAATCATTAAACCTAAAGGGGCAGAGGAGAAACAACTTTGAGAACAGGCAGAAGGTCATATACAGGAGAAATCAACACACGTAATGAAATATCTGTTGTACAAAGCAACGGCAACAATCTGCCCCGGGGATGGAGACTGACGAGGCTTAAGTACACGTCCGGAAATGTACAGCCAACTAATCCGAAAGCATGAGGTGGTTCAGGCATGTACTGTGATCATGCAATGGCAAGCATTGCAGTGACGCATTGCAGTGGACTGGGCCTAAAAGAGGAGGAAGAGACAAAAGACACCCATCCCATCACAGTAGTTATATCCTACACTTTCTGTCAAACTGTCAATCAAATGATTTTTGATACTCTATAATTTATGACCCCTCTGTGTTCCCATGACTGACAGTTCTGTATGCACAGCTAATTTATGACAGGAGTTGTAACCCTATTGATCTGTATGTGTGTAAATCTTGGCACCTGTCTGTCTGGGGATCTCCTTCCTGGGCTGTGTATTGTTGGGGGTCTCCCCCACCCATGTTAATGAGATTGTTGTGAAATGTGCTTCTCACAGTATTGTGCCATTATACCCTTGCATACATGAACACGTGGTGCCCTTACCAAGGTCTTGACCCAGCGTAAACTACTGCAGGAGGAACATGTGCATAACACCGGTTTCACCCCCATTGGCCTTCATGGTTGTCTTGGTTTTTCTCTTCTGATTGGGCATCCACATTGACCCATCTCAGCATTGCCATTGCTATAGCTTTGAGTATGATAGGCATTATTGCATGCTGCCTTATCCCCCTTTGCAAGCGCCTTATTATAGCTGCTGTTTATAATGTTGCTGGCCAGCATGTAGTCGTCCAGACTTAGTCCCCTGTCCTCTTGTCCCCTATGGTTGTGGCGTGTCCACCTCAAAGGGGGGAGGTGTTATATTATGCACCTGTTTATTAAATGCCCTGGAATACTCTAGCTTATAGGTGTATTATGCATTGATAAAAGTGTAGAGTTGAGTGTACTATGTAAATACAGGGATATTGGTATGTACTGATATGATATTGGGAATCTATTTCTTGTATTTATGCTGGGGTTATAAGTATCCACACACTAATGTACTAAAACTGATGTTTGCATTACCCCAATTTGCCTGATGACATTGTCTCACTTAAACACATACTAATTATTACTGTGCATGGCACTAGGTTTCTCTAGGTTCAGAGAAAGGACTTCACACCACAAGTCATCATAAGGAAGAAAAAAACAGAACGGAGTGCAGGAGAAACAGGAGGTCTCAGAAATCTGTAGAGTAAAAGAGGATTGATGAGCCATGCCCTGGGTGAAAGTGCTAGCCTAACCTCTCCCCAAGATGAGGGCCCTGCGATATGCAAATTTTCTGTGTCGAAGATATCCTTTCAGCAGAGGTGGACTAGGCCATAAAACAAAATGTTCCCCATGTGGACCACCTTATTGACATAAGGCATGATGAACTGAAGGTGGCGTGAGCCCCATGAACAATGAAGTATGGATCAGAATGGATTGTTGGATGTTTATACTTATATCATGTGTACTGTGGTTACAGTAACGGATATTGTTGTTAAGTTTAGCCAGATGTAGCCATTGTTGAGCATGCAGTTCTGGTAGGGTGGGAATTTTTCATCACAACTGGGTCAAGAGGCCCCCCCTAGGTCAGACTTCTTTTGAGAAAAGTAAATGAACCCTTGAGTTCGGAAAATACAAGGTAGTGTTCACCAAGGCCTATCTGAGAAAATAGGGACACAATAGGGATATTATCATTAGATGTAATCAAAAATAGGAGCATTATTAGTGCTTGAAGTAGTCAACAGAATATAGTCAATTGTATCACTTATATTCAATACTCAACAACATAGTATCAATTCACCAATCAGCCAGTTATCTGAGTACATTGATTTAGTTATCTGCACAAGTTGGAAGCAAATTTAAGACACAGGAAAACACAAGGGCATTAGAGTATGTATTATTAGTAGTATAGTTTATTGAGATTCACTATCATACACATTATACACTGGGGAGGGAACAGGACTTGTTGAAGAACAATCTGTGGGTGAAAGGCAATGGGGTGGTGTGTTTGTAGCTAAGTTACTATCATTATCAGTGGAAAGAATAAACGGGCCCTCCACAGAGGTCATGGGAAACAGTTGAGCCTCAGTTCGAGTAGAAGCATGAACATACGTCAATGATGGAATGATATGATAAGTGGGAGGATAAAGAAACCCTGGGGTTAAAGGTGAAGAACAGAGATGTTACAGCAGAACTTTAACATCCTCTGCCAAATAAGCCAGCTGATGACGTATATATTCACACAGGCCTATGAAATTGAGCAGCCTAGAGAGAGAAGGGAGTTACTCAACTGGACAGAGATCAGCGAGAAAGGTCAAAAATGAGATAAAACAGTAGTGGTAACACTTAAAAGTATATCCACTTATATCACTTATATACATGTACAAGCACGTGCAAAGAATGTAGGAAACAGGTAACAATACACGGCATGGAAAAAGTACTTATAAGATGTTTAAGAAACACACACACACACACACACACACACACTCACATAATGTTTAAGAAGCACCAAAAACTTATAAACAAACTTAGGATTAGAGAAGAAATATGTGTAACCCATAATGAAGACGTGATAAAATTGTTCAGGACAACGGGGCGGTGAGATGCACCCAGCTCGATTACCGGAAGTGGGAATGCCAGTAAGGGCCTTGTAAAAATGTATAAATACCCAAAAGAAAAAACATAAATATAAGGGGATATCCAATGCCTGAAAATAGGTTTTAAGGGGATTCCTTGAGAAAATTGGGTTCTAATGGTATTTAAAAATGAGACATTTGGGTGTAACCTAACAATAAGACTGTATAAATAGGGCATTTAGTCTGTACTTAGATTCAGATCACGTTGAGACGTATCACTGATTGGATCTCATGTTGTTTTTTGAACAATAAACTGGATTTTTCTCCTCTCATACAACGTGTTCTAGATTTTTGAGTATGATCACTTATGGGAAAAGGTAATTAGCATTACTTGTCGTTTTTTGACACGACAGGTCCTGTTACTATACAAAACATGCTGCTTATTCTACACGATACATTCGTGAGGTGAAAAGTTGTTAGAAAGCCTAGTTTTCCTTGAATCTAAAGCCTACTTGTGGAAACTAGCTATGGGCAGTTTGCTCATAATAATTACATCCTAAAAAAAACTTTAAAGCGCCGATGCTATATTTAAGGCTGTGTATGACCCCGAAACACTCTAACATGTGGTCGACTGTGAGTGACATCACTTCCAAATACAACCATGCACCACAGTATACTCCCACCCTGAACACTGATTGACAGCACGGATAGCATACTAATGCTGAATCAACATTGAATCAATGATAATTCATCAACCAAACTATCATTGAATCAATGTTGAAATGTTCAAATTTAACATTGATTTTTCATCAGGTTTGCACCCTGAAATTGTTATTTCAACCATGAAAAATAGATCAAGATGATTTAATTTAAATTAAATCACTTATTTAACATTGAATCAAAATACAATTCATGTACAGATCATGATAAACTGGATACCAAAGTGAAAAACACTGTGTCTCATTCACACACACCAATGGTAGCAGAGCTGCCATGCAAGGTGCTAGCTTGCCATCGGGAGCAACTTGGGATTCAGTGTCTTGCCCAAGGACACTTTGGCATATGGAGTCACCCGGGCCGCGAATCAAACCACCAACCCTACGATTAGTGGACGACCCACTCTACCAACTGCACCACAGCCGCCCAGATGGATTGACATTAAATCTAAGCCCCAGCAGTGGGGAAATAAAACTGACCCAAAATCAACATTGAGTCACTTTTTGTCTTTTCACCACTGAAAAACAATGAATTATCAGCATCCTACTTTGAGCCCTTCTTGGAATCCACTGTCTTGTCAGCTGTTCCAATGTAGTCCACTGTGGCATTGTAGAAGTTGTTGTCAGACCATCTTGCTAGTACTACATCACCTGGCTTCAGATCTCTGAAGCAAGTAATGGGTTTATCATCTTTGGTTAGAACATCACAGAACTTAAAATTTTTTTCAGTGTATCCATCTTCAAATGTCAAAAATACAAAAAGTCCTGTAAATGAAGACAGAGTAAAACATTCGTGAGTAAACAAGTACTAAAATATCATAACTTAATTAAACATATACATAATAAATGAATAAACTATTCAATAGTTTTGTCATTGTGTCACTCTGGTATTCGAATCGTCCCATGCCTCATAGAAATCACATGTGATCATGACCACAACAACATTAAAAATACTCAGTGCTCAACCTCTGTTCAGTCTCATGCTCTCCATTAGCACTTCTGTGTTGACAAAATGACTATGGAGTCAGACTGAAAATGATACGAGTACGGGCAGGTGCACAGTGGTTGGTTCTAGACCTGTTTTATTTCAGTATTTGATAATAAGGTTAAAATGATTTAATATGTTGCAAGTCAAGTAGCTTTTTACTATATTTATAATTAATTTAGGCTACCAGGTAGAGTACACTAGGACCTAACCCTAGAAACTAAATACCATTTAAGATTTGTGTTATCATAATATAATCGAGTCCCACCCTCATCGCAGGCAAGTTCTTTTGCCTCCACTTTACCACAATCTCTGGCTTGGGTGCATTCTGTTGCATAGTTTAGAATGGTCATTGTCAAGTTTGAACTGATCATTGCACCATTCTAGGGCTTAAATTTTAGATTTTCTGTCAGTGAGTCTGGATGGCAGAGTGGTCTAAGGTTGCTGCGTTAAGATTACAGTTTCCTCTGGAGGCATGGGTTCGAATCCCACTTCTGGTGCACTTTGTTGAGGGTCTATAATGTAGTTCTTCTTTGCATGATAAGATATTTAGGTAAATCACTTGCAAGGTCCCTGAAAACAAGTTTAAGCTTCTGTTTGCCACACTATGGTTAATAACTGTTCTTTGCAGCCCATTCTAGGCTTCAAATTATAGCACTGGCTTGATTCTATGGCACTGTAAACGGTTGCCAAGGGAACCAACTACACTGCTTTGTTGTGTTCGTGCCGAAATACCTGGGCAAGGACCCTAAGTGAAGCTTATACATTCTGAAGCAAGGCTTCTATTTTAGTTGTGGCCAAGTGGTCAAGGCGATGGACATGAAATCCATTGGGGTCTCCAAGCGCAGGTTTGAATCCTGCCAACTACGTCTGAAATTTGGTTTACCATTCAGACAGTTCAGTGCTGGGGTAGCAATAGTGACACTTAACCTCGCTGACTTCTTCACTGAAACATCATGTGCATTAATTGCTGTTTACAGTTGTTACATACCTGCTATTGTACTGAGAATTTACCAATTGAGCATGATTTTTCAATCGGACTGACTTGACACCGGTGTTGTTCCTTTAAAAGTTCAAGATCTGCACAGACCATCACAACCCACATTGAATCCAAAAGGGACAAAAGTTCTGATGATGGTACAACAGTTCATGTGAAAAAAAAAAAAACAAAACAAAAAAAAACAGTGGACACAAATAATTTCACAAAGTAAACTGGGAACAGCTTAACTAAATCTTTATGAAGTGAAACCATATGATTAACATTGGGTGATTCATGCAACTAAAGATTTTTTAAAACAATTTGTTTGGACAAAATCAAATACTTTGAAAAGAAAGCACGATTAGATTTCAAATAGACTTCAAATAGGAGCACTTGATTTATAATATAGTCATAAGTGCTTCTTGTTGGTGGAGTCTCATCTGTGTATTTGACTTTACGATCTTATGTGTGTGCTGCAATGTGTCTCTGGATGTTACCCCCAATTGTACCACACTAACTGCAGTTTTAATGTAACTTTTTTGCAAATTTTGGAACCTTTCAGTGACATTATTAATATGAAATGTTGAAACCATAAGATATATTTTTTCACTTCATAAAGGTTTAGTTAAGTTTAATGTGAGAGGTTAAATACTAAGTGTTTGAATAGTCTCTTGTATAGCATGGAGTGAGTGAGTATGAGATTGGCAACAGGTGTGTGTGATTTAGAATTGGAGAAGGTGAACGCATATGTGTGGTAATTGTAGTCCTCCTCGGTCATGTTTGTAGTTGGTGGTGCATCCTGGGAAATGGAGTTGCTGGTTTGCTGTGATATGACACTACCAAATTATATATAGGCTATGCAATTATCAGACAAGATATTACCTTAATGTCACTCTCACTGTCATCCTTTCTTGCCCTCTTTGCAAAAAAAGCTGTGACTTTTCCACTGGCTTTCATAGCTTTGTAAGATAAGAACCTTCTTTGGTAGACCTGATAATTATTTAGGTTATATTAATATCAATATTAAAAAGTAGCATGAACATTTTATTTTAACTAATAGTCTAATTTTCTACTATATACAATTAAATAAAATTAGCAGCTAGCTAACAACTTGTTTTGTTCTGGTTTCACCTTGCTCCAGTCTAAACTAAATGATTTTAAAGGTGCATTTACAACAGTCATATAAATAAACTGAAAATATTGTGGATTATTAAGCTAAATCTTACTAACCACTCTTGCTAAATGTTGTACGCACATTTACGTTCTCATTTCAGAGGTGTTCTGAGTAGATGATTTGTTATATGCCGATTCAGACAATGACATCTCGTGAGTTCAGTGTTGGACAGCTCAGTTGTTTAACCATCAATTAAAATGAATTGGTACAAAGGAGTCAGTCATTTGCGACTCGGACATTAGAGGTCGATATATATAGAATATTTAAGAAAGAAAATGCAACATGCAGTAGGGAAAGTAGAACAGTGGGCAAATGAATGGGGATTTAAACTATCAATCTCTGTGTGAGATTTTTAGGAGTGCTCTTCGATGAGAAGTTGACCTGTTGTCAGCATATTGATAAAGTTAAAAACGATTAATAATGTTTTGTAATGTGTCTGTCATGGCGAGACTGGGGAGCAAGTAGGGCATAGTTCATAAATATTGATCAGGCTCTTATAAGAGCTGCCTTTGATTATGCTTGCATATATGTCGGCATCATAATCAAATCTTAAAAGCCTGATATAGAACAGTCACAAGAACTCCCTATCTGTACTAGAGCATTTAAGTCATCACCAGTAACTGCATTACAGGTTGAGACAGGATAGATGTCTTTGAATATTAGGAAGGTCAAGATCATGCTGGCATATTGGATAAATCTACAAGGGCATAGCAGGGTGCACTCCATGAAATCCATCTTACAAGACTGTTCAGAGTTTTATAGAACTAACTTTAACAGTTTCAGATGGTTAGGAAATCCAAAGGCACAAAATGCAGGCCTCAGCCAGCTACAAGTAAGCCCCATTGTGGCAATACCAACTGTACCATACTGGAGATTCATAAAACCATCTGTAGATACAAGTCTACAACAAATATTAAAAGAAAAATGTCAAATAGCAACACAGTGGATAATAGTTAAAAACTATATGGACCATTATCAGGATAATGCCATAGCCATATCTCCCTGCTGTATTCGCCTGGGTTCCCACTGACACTAAGCAGGTTTGAGCCTGACCAGTACCTGGATGGAAAACCTCCAGGGGAAAACTAAGGTTGCTGCTGGAAGTGGTAACAGTCAGGTCTGCAGGGGGTGGTCACCCTGTGGTCTGTGTGATCTAATGTCCTAGTATAGTGACAGAAACACTATACTGTAAAAACAGCACTGTCCTTCGGATAAGACGTTTAAGGTCCTGAGGTCCTGATTCTCTGTGGTCATTAAAAATCCCTGGACATTTATCATAAAAGAGTAGGGGTATAACTCCAGTGTCCTACCGAAATTTCCCCATCATGGCCCACTAATAATCCTCATCTCTGAATTGGCTACATCACTCCCCACTAATAGCTGGAATGTGGTAGGCATTCTGGCTTAATATGCCTGCTGTCGCATCATCGAAGTGTATGCTACACACTAGTGGTTGTTGAGGAGATCCTCCCCATACTATGTAAAGCATTTTGAGTGTCCAGAAAAGCGCTGTATATAAATGTAACTGTAACTAACTAATTTACTCATATACAGATGGGTCAAAACAGCCTGAGAAAGGCTGCACTGGTGCTGCTTATTTTTTTATTCCTCATTATGAAGTACCAGTCAAAAAAAGAGCAACCAGTCATTTATCAATGAACACTGTAGAACTATTAGGAGTCCTATTTTCACTGCAGTAGTTGGAAAAAAAATCATCAGAACCAAAATGTCACTATAGCTTCTGACGGTCTATCTGCACAATACACTGGTCTGTATATCAAATATACTGTACAATCTGGGAAAACATCATGTAGACAAGACATTGTTTACCATCTCCCTTTCATACTCCATAGTAGGGGTGCTGGATGTCTCCTTCATAGTACTGGATGTCTCCTGCTTTTAGGTTCCTGCATATGTAGGTGTAGAAGGAAATTAAACTGTGAATGTATTTGCAAAAAGATCGCTAAAGCATGAAACAGTTGATATACAAGTACCATTAAGTAGAGCAGAGATTAAACCATTATAAAGGGGCACAGGCATAAAATATGGCAGGAATACTGGGACATAGCTGACACTGGACGACACCTATATAATATACAAAAACAAGTAGGCATGAGTATGAGACAGGGCAGGAACCCAAATTTTAAGAATTACACGTCATAGAATAGGTCATGCGGGCTTAAATCTAACATTACACTTTATAGAAAAACACCCTACTGGACTCTGCACCTACTGCAATACACAAGAGACTGTAAAACACATTCTGTTAGACTGCAAAAGATATGAGGAAGAAAGAACTGAACTAGAGATGCAAATTGGAAAGCAAAACATGACACTAAAGAACTTTCTTGGAAAAACATCTGGAGATTGGTATACACATTTCTAACTTCAACAGCATTTGAAGGGAATGACTTACAGTCACAATTTGCTCATTATATAGCTGACACCTGCATGAACATTTTACAGATTTTTTTTAACTGTAAGTAATTCCCTTGAAATGCTATTGACCTGTAAATTATGGTATATTTTGTGCATTGAAATTTGAAATTCGACAATTTTGTTGTACAAATAATTATTTCGTCTATGAAACTGTCAAATATGAATAAGTTTGCTAGCTAGGTAGCACACCAGAATTGTGTGTATGTGCCATTGCTCCATGTCCATAAACGCTTTAATGGTAATGTTAGTCAAAATGTTCACACAGAGATGAACATCCTACAATAGGAAGAGGACAGAGGAGGATGAACAGCAGGTCATATGAGTAGAAAAGACTTAGCAGGACGAGTTTGTAAGTTGTATGGATAGCTACGGGTTAGCCAGCTAGTTCATGTCACACCATGTTGGATGTTTGGGACAGTTACGCCATCGTGTGAGGATTGCTCCCACTGTTGGTGCGTTGAAAGTATGAGTGGCAGACCATGTGTTTTCATTTTCTGTCATGATTCAGGAAAATGTTGCCATGGTAGGGCAGTGCTGCTGCATCAAGAACTGCCACAGTAGGTCACACTGTCACTCTGTGAGAAAACTGGACAATAGAGTGTTATTCTACAGCCTCCAATTCTTACTCATAACTTATAACAGTGATCCGCACAGGATGGACCCATGTCTCAACATGTACTGTGGCTAGCTACATTAACTAGCAGTTCTTAATGATTATAGTAGCTAGTGTTTTAAATGAACAATTCTCAGTTTGGAGTAATATTAATGAATAAATTAAGCTTCATTCAGTGACATACATCAGAACTCGTATCTCCATATTTCATAATTTTTTTCATAAATCAATGCCATTGGTCACTCTTTAGTCTGTCTGTGTGTTTTACAAATATTTAACCAATGAAAAGTATTAAAAAAGCTTCTGACTAAATCTCCCCAGTCTGAGTCTTCAGCCACTGCAAATACCCTCTTACAACCAAACTAATTTGTACATTCTGGTCCCAAAAGTCATTAGAAATGAGACTAATTTCATTCCATTTGCATTTTACAGAAAGTTTCGTACATGTCTGTGTCAGGACTTTGAAACAGCAAACAAGGAAAACAATAAAATGCATGATTTACATTCATCCAGCTAGCATCCATGCATCCAGCTAGCCAACTCCGAATGCCATAACACGTGTAAGCTCGTTCGCGATCCATTGACTGCTGCTGAATTTGTAAGTTGGGTTGATCTGGTCCAAGCTACTTTAACCTTTTTTTCTTCATTTGAAAGCCTTGTGAAA